ATCAGGACTACACTGAGACTGGTTCATATAGAGGATCAGGACTACACAGACTGGTTCACATAGAGGGTCAGGACTACACTGAGACTGGTTCACATAGAGGATCAGGACTACACTGAGACTGGTTCATAGAGGGTCTGCTCAGTGAGACAGCAGGAAGCTCCAGAAGCTAAAATCACAAGTAGGCGTGAGATCTTCACCCAAACACAACGCTGGCCAAGTTCACTAGCCGGGTCTCTGTGAGATAGAATAACTATCTCACCGCGGTGGTGAGGGTCTGCTGGTTCTGAGGGTCTGCTGGTTCTGAGGATCTGCTGGTTCTGAGGGTCTGCTGGTTCTGAGGGTCTGCTGGTTCTGAGGGTTCTTCTGTTTGGTTTGGTTTCCTCTTCTTTACGAGTGGGCGGCGCTGAGTGCCGTGTCTTGAATGTTTTACCTTTTTCCTTTTGTTCTCTCCTCTCTTACACTTACACACACACACACACACACACACACACGCACACACACACACACACACACACACACACACGTACACAGTTACATGCACACACTGGCTGAGCTAACGACCTCAGACACGTGTAGATAACACAATCTCTATGGTGGTCTCGTGTGAAACTACTTAGATTACATCATACAATGTCTGAGCTGCTCTCGCTTCTAACACACACACACACACACACACACACAGACGCACGCACACACACACACAGACGCACACACACACACACACAGACGCACACACACACACACACACACACACACAGACGCACACACAGACGCATGCACACACACACACACACACAGACGCACACACACAGACGCACACACACACACACACACAAACACACACACACACACACTACCATGAATTATTAGTTGACTTTAGATAGCGTGCTCATAATTGTAGAGTAGTGGTTGTTAGTCTAGATATTATAATTAGAGCTTAATAAACTCTGATATATTGTTATAACAGCTGATATCAAACCTTCTCTGTTCACTCTGGATGTGTGACAGTACTTTGACTGTTGACATTGTGAGTGAACACTAATGATGAGACTTACTTTAGTTGGTTATTGGTCCATGTTCTCAGGGTGGAGCCCCGTTAATATTAATAACTGTTAATAATCTCACTGACATTAATGATTCTATTGATTCAATCATTTAGTTTTCTGGTAACCAAACACGCTGCTTTAGTTCCCAACACTGAAACTTTAACTTTGAACAAGCAACATGATGACAGCTATGAGTGATGTAATAATACGTGTGTGTGTGTGCGCGTGTGTGTGCGTGTGTGTCTCTATCAGCTTCAGTCAGATTCAGAGGAAACGGTCGCTGCTGTTTGATCAACATCCAAACTAACTTTCATCATCCTGTCAGACTGAAGACCACGCCCACCTTATCTACAGGGTGTGTGTGTGTGTGTGTGTGTGTGTGTGTGTGTGTGTGAGAGTCACTATGAAGCCATGAAAACGTCCGTTCTTTGCTGTATTTTAAAATTTATGTAAATGCTAAACATGGAGACACAAATAATGAAACCTGGAGAGGAGGAGGAGGAAGAGTAGAAGGAGGAGGAGGAGGAGGAAGAGGACGAAGAGGTGGAAGAGGGGAATAATGACAAGACAAATAATGGGAGAAGAGAGAGACGAGAGAGACAGACGGACTCTGAGGAGACATTTATAAACAGACTGTAGACAGATGAAGTGACAGCTTCAGATCCACAGACAGATAGAGAGAAGACAGACAGAGGAGGAGGAGGAGGAGGAGGAGGAGTCAGGAGGGAGATTAAAAACAGACTCAGCAAGGCAGAGACGTCCAAACTGAGGAGGATCAGAGAAGAAGAACGCCGTCACTCGTCTGCAGAGTAAACGACTGAGAGACGAGAGAAGAGGAGGAGGAGGAGGAGGTGGAAAAAGAGGAGGAGGAGGCAGCAGCGAACCACCCACAGAGAGAGTTTCCTCACACACAGACACTGTTTTTATGTTGGTGTTAACAGAAGCTTCAACTCACTGACAACAGAAAGTTCCTCCTGAAACAAACCACAGAGGAAGAAGAAGAAGAAGAAGAAGAAGAAGAAGAAGAAGAAGACCTTATTAAAAGTCACAAGAAGAAACTCTGACTGAAAACTGACTTTCCTCCAAACTTACCTAAAGAGGAGCAGACTCACCAGAGTGCATCATGGGAACGTCTTGAATCCACAGAGAGATCCTCTGAAGACCTGAAGACTGTCCTCCTCTGGTTCCACCTCCACCCCCCCAACAGCATGCTGGCCAGGCCTACCCAGGGACGGAGCGCTCAAGGTGGGGCAGGAGGGCTGACGACGATGATGACGATGATGGTGATGATGATGATGATGCTGGTGGGGGTGATGGGGGTGATGGAGGTGGCGAGCGTTGAGGAGGTAGAGAGCGAGGAGAGCGAGGAGGTGCTGGAGGAGGACGAGGTCATCAGTGCTGAGATCCTGGTGAGAAACAACAACCAATCAATGAGCTGCTTTCCTCAGTCACATGCTGCCTGATCCCTACTGGGCATGTGCAGCTGTCAATGGAGACATAGGGCACTCGTTAGATATACTTCCTTATGATGGTGAGAGCTGCACATGCTCAGTAGAGACCTGGCAGGTGTGTTAGCCAGAGCTAGCTAAACATCAGTGATGTAATATTTCCACTGTTAAATAATGAACAACAACTATAATAATAATATTATAATGAAAATAATAACAATAATAATAACAGCAACAATAATAATAATAATTATTATTATCATATTATCATATAATTATAACAATAATGATAATATAATGATAATAATAATAGTACAAATAATAATAATTATGATCACAATGATGATAATAATAATAACAATAACAATATGAATACACAGGTTCTTCAAAAATAAAAGATTGTGTCATAATAATTAATGTCATAATAAATAATCACATAGTGTTCAAGTCAACCAGGACTTCAGCATCACCGCTAACAGCTACAGCTGCATTATGTCAAGAAACATATTCATATCACACTCAAACAGAAAACACAAAGATCTGCTCTGAATATTTATTTTTCATGTCATTATGCTGCTACACAGCGAACTGGACACACGTTCATATGAAAGAGTCTCAGTGGAGTATGAAGCAAATACAGTATAAGATCCCCACATCTTCTTCTGATCTTCTTCATCACTGGGCCCACTGAGCATGCTCACTAGCATTTCCTTTAGCCCCGCCCCCCAGCCCTCAGTCAAGCCTCATTCACATCAACGCAGGAAGAAAATACCTCTGGATTGAGCAACTTTTAGTTTCATTTTGTTGCCTAAACCTAACTCAGTAGTTTTGTCTAAACCTAACTCAGTAGTTTAGTTGTCTCAACCTAACTCAGTAGTTTAGTTGTCTAAACCTAACTCAGTAGTTTTGTCTAAACCTAACTCAGTAGTTTTGTTGTCTCAACCTAACTCAGTAGTTTTGTTGTCTAAACCTAACTCAGTAGTTTTGTTGTCTAAACCTAACTCAGTAGTTTTGTCTAAACCTAAGTAGTTTTGTTGTCTAAACCTCACTCAGTAGTTTAGTTGTCTGAACCTAAGTAGTTTAGTTGTCTGAACCTAACTCAGTAGTTTTGTTGTCTAAACCTAACTAAGTAGTTTAGTAGTCTGAACCTAACTACGTTGTTTTGTCTAAACCTAAATAAGTAGTTTTGTTGTCTAACAATATTTAATTTGTAGTTTAATAATCTTAATTTGTAGTTGATTAACGTGAAACTTAACTTGACATCAAACTTATGTTGTGGCCGGTGTCCTCCAGGAGCCGCTGTCCTCAGATCTGTCCAGAGTGTCTCCTCTCAGCTCCTGGCTCATCTTCAGAAGAAACTCCAACAAAGGGGACAACCGGAGAACCAAAGGGACCAGGAGAACCTCCAAGGTCTGAGAACAAGCAGATAAGATGTGATGAAACACACAGGAGGTCACATGATGTCCACTGGATTCATATCAGAGAATGAGGACAGAATGTCCTCTGGTCCGACCCCCCAGTCCTGTTAGAATCAGGTTTACTTCTACACGGCTATGGAAGAGAGCGGGGCTAAGGTGTAGGGGCGGGGCTAGGAGGCATGTAAATGTTCTCAAGTCTGAGAACTTTGGAGCAGATTAGACGAAGCATGCCAAAGTACAATGTTGAAAAGACAAATGTTTGATCACTTTTTATCGCAAAGGGTCTTTAGTTTGTGACGCCAATCTGATTAAATTTGTAGGAGCTCGAACAGCGTCTGTAAAAAGCTAAAAAAATGGGCTGAAATTACACCTTAAATTCAAAATGGCTTCCTGTTGGTTTTTGGAAAAACCTCCAAAAGGACTTTTTGTGCGTCTCCATATTTCACACCTGCCTGTTAAATATCATACACGTAGGTGAAACCTCATCGAGGGTCTCAATTTTAACAACTAGTACGTCATCGAGTAATTCACTGGATTCTGAAATTTGAGTCAGTTTGAGTTTGTTGTTATGATTTCAGACGACATCATTTATCTCCATATGTGATTTCATCCTGACATGATTCCACTGAAAGACAACCAATTATCATATTGATTAATCGATCAGCCCTAATAATACCAGACCATATTCCATGTCTCTAACAGTCCACGTGTCTCTGCAGCATGGTCCTTCAGGACCTCCGGGACCTCCAGGACCCAGGGGGCCTCCCGGCCCCCCTGCCCCCCTCCTGCCCCAGCAGCAGGAGCTCCTCCAGGAGCTGCAGCTCAAACTGAGAGGTGAGAGCTTCACACTCGACATACCCTAAAGCATCCCCTGCTTTATGGTCTGTGTGACTCTAAATGGACCATAATGTACTAAATGAACATCATGCTGTATTGAAGAAGACTTGAAACTAGAGATTGAGACCATAAACTCATGTTTACAATGTTTACTGAGGTAATAAATCAAGAGAGAAGTAGAGTCATTTTCTCATAGACTTCTATACAACCAGAGGAGTCGCCCCCTGGTGGTCATTAGAGAGAATGCAGCTTTAACACATGAAGCTTTGACTTCACTTTAAAGAACCAGAAATTGTCTCCTGGTTGAATATTTTGCCAAAACTAGGATCCAATTCACGTCCTGTTAGTTTTTACACAAACTGAAATATCTCAAAGCACCAGACCTCTGTCTTGTGACGGAGCCATGCTAGCAGTTTACCCCCGCTTCCAGTCTATTTGCTAAGCTAGGCTAACACGTCCTGGACCTGTGTCTTTAGGGAGAAGAACATTCATGTTAGCGTTCAGTGTGTTTACTTACTACAGACACACTGTTCACTCTCACTCAGTGTTTTCTGTATGTAGGTTATATAAACACAGCTCTGTGTGTGTGTGTGTGGGTGTGTGTGTGGAGGCAGCCTGTCTGAGTCCTTAATAGGGGTAATTTTATGGATGGGACTTGGCTCAGCAGCAGGATTCCTGACATTCCTGCTGACTGATGATGTGTCTCTGTTACTTTCAGTGTGTGTGTGTGTGTATGTGGGGGGGGGGGGGTTACTTTTTACTTTTATTTCATGATGTTGAAGAGAAAAGAAGACAAACTGATAAATAAGGTAATTAAAATGTGAAATGAATCACATCTGAGGGTGTGACATGTTTATGTTGGAAGATAAGGATGAGTTGGTGAAAACGATCCATCATCGTCATCATCAGAGAAGCTTTGGAGACATTTGAGCCAATAAGGTTGAAGGTGATTTAACGGGATATATTGATGAGCTCTAAAACGACTCTGATCACACGAGACCAACTGGAGAGACGAGGATGAGGACGGAAAACTATATCAACGTTTCCTTTACAACGGTTCTTATGACGGTTCTTACTCTTTTTATTCCTCCTAAAGTCAAGAAAACACGTGTCAATTTCTGCTCGTTACATGAATACAGCTTTTCAAAATAAACTTCAGTCTTCACAGGAAACTACTCAGTAGTCAGGTTTAGACAACTAAACTACTTAGTGAGGTTTAGAGTAGCATCTAAGCGAACCTCTTCAGGAGCCGCCATTGCTGTTCAGAATCAACAGTCTCCTCTGCGTGTCGTCGCACACATTCCTAAGCCCCTCCCCCTGCTGCCAGCTCCTCACAGGACTCTGATTACTCTTCCTCTTCTGCTCCTTTTCCCTATTTCTCCTCCATCATCTTCCTCTTCTTCTCCTCCTCCTCATATTCTTATTTTCCCCCTTCATCTCCTTCTCCTCTTCCTCCTCTTCTTGTTCTTCTCTTCCTCCTCTTCCTCCTCCTCTTTATCTCCTCCTCCTCCCAGACATGACAGGAGGAGTGTGTTTTCAGTGTGATGGTCCTCCTCGTGTCTCCACCTCCTTCCTCAGACGCCTCCTGCAGCCCGTCATCGTCCCCCGTCGCAGCCTCCTGGAGCTGCACCCATTCAGCCAGGTGAGACACACACACACACACACACACACACACACACACAGGTGAACCTCGTTTGACATTTGACCACTGCAGCCCTCAGACTCAGAGCGGAGCCTGCAGAGGGGGCGGAGCTTCAACAGCAGCAGCGGTCGGTTCACGGCCTCCGTCTCCGGGTTCTACCAACTGACCGCCAGCCTGCTGATAGGTGAGAGAGCGGCTGGTCACGTGACTCGGCCCGACCAATGACAGCTGACAAACACACACAGTCACCTAATGGACCAGGTTCTTAACCTCTCATCTCTTTGTGTGTCAGAGACCGGAGACAGAGTCCAGGTGAGACTCAGAGACAGTGTGAGAGCAGCCGTCTGCATCGAGTCCCTCTGCCAGAGCAACCTGTGAGTATCTACACCACATGGTCCTCTTCTTCATCATCATCATCACGCCACTTCACTGACTTTAGAACTGAGAAATTAATGAAAATATAAATGTTCATGCACCTTGTAGATCGAATACAACTGAAGACTCAGAAACAATCCTCTGAAGGAAGGACTCTTTAGCAGCACTAGCTTCTTAGCAAGTCAGCCATCACGTATGCAACAGGCTAAAGCTAGCGACTTAGCGTGCTAGGAATCAATAAAGCGGGCTAGCGCGACCTATCAGAAACGTATCACTAGTGTATCAGGAGTGTATCAGGAGCGTATCACCAGCGTATCACTAGCGCATCACGAGCGCATCGCGAGCGCATCACTAGTGCATCACGAGTGCATCACGAGCGCATCACGAGCGTATCACGAGCGCATCACGAGCGCATCACGAGAGTACCACTAGCGTATCACTAGCGCATCACGAGCGTATCACTAGCGCATCACTAGCGCATCACTAGCGCATCACTAGCGTATCAAGAGCGTATCACTGGCGCATCACTAGCGTATCACTAGTGCATCACGAGCGCATCACGAGCGTATCACGAGCGTATCACGAGCGCATCACGAGCGCATCACGAGAGTACCACTAGCGTATCACTAGCGTATCAAGAGCGCATCACTAGCGCATCACTAGCGCATCACTAGCGTATCAAGAGCGTATCACTAGCGCATCACTAGCGTATCATTAGCGCATCACTAGCGCATCACTAGCGCATCACGAGCGTATCACTAGCGCATCACGAGCGTATCACTAGCGTATCACTAGCACATCACGAGCTTATCACTAGCACATCACGAGCTTATCACGAGCGTATCACGAGCGCATCACAAGCGTATCACTAGCGCATCACGAGCGTATCACTAGCGCATCACGAGCGCATCACAAGCGTATCAAGAGCGCATCACTAGTGCATCACGAGCACATCACTAGCGTATCACTAGCGTATCAAGAGCGCATCACTAGCGCATCACTAGCGCATCACGAGCGTATCACTAGCGCATCACGAGCGTATCACTAGCGTATCACTAGCACATCACGAGCTTATCACTAGCACATCACTAGCGCATCACTAGCATATCACTAGCGCATCCCGAGCGCATCACTAGCGTATCACTAGTGCATCACGAGCGTATCAAGAGCGTATCACTAACGTATCACTAGCGCATCACTACTTTGGTATTAGTGTATTACTAGTGCATTATGAGTGTATTATGAGTGTGTCATTAGTGTATTACTAGTGTATTACTGCAGTGTTCTGTCTCTGTGTTCCTCAGCTCTGTAGAGTCGGTGATGGGCGTGGCGGCTGCTGGAGGAACGTTCAGCATCTTACTGATGGGAACTCTTTATCTACAGGTACAACATCACAACACGAGGCTCCGCCCTCAAACACACCACCAGGCAATGAAAGTCACTGTCGTCTTGTTAAGACTGTTTGTGTGTGTGTGTATGTCTGTGTGTGTGTGTGTGTATGTGTGTGTGTTTGCGTGTGTGTATGTGTGTGTGTGCGTGTGTGTGTGCGTGCGTGTGTGTGTGTGTGTGTGTGTGCGTATGCGTGCGTGCGTGCGTGTGCGTGTGTGCGCGTGTGTGTCTGTAGGCTGCTGAGTATGTGTCGGTGTTCGTGGATAACTCCAGCGGTTCGGCCGTCAGTGTCCTGCAGGACTCTCTGTTCTCTGGGATTCTGCTGGGAGTCTGAACCTCTTCATCATCATCATCATCCTCACACAGCTGATCTTCATCACCTGAGATGTCTCACACCTGACCTCAGGTGAAAGGATCCCTGAGAACTGGAATTAATGCCTCCACCTGGTGAACAGCAGAGGAACCTCTGGTGACGACCTTTAACAGACTGATTTTACATTATATTTAATCTTTATATTGAAGTTTATTCTGCTTTGTTCAGTTTTCCTTTTGTCAAAGTGGAACAACATGAAACTTTTTAGCATTAAATACATTTTATTTTAAGGTAAAATGATTAAAATCACGAGTCCTTCATGGACCTGAAGCATCAACCTGCTGCTCACTGATTTACTTTAATATTAATATTTATTCTCTGGATGTCATCAACAAGTTGTGAATATTTAAAATAATAAATCTGTTTCTACTGGCTGCAGAGCTCCAGAGTTCTGTGTCACGTTCTCCGTGTTCTCCATTCAATCTGATTATTATACATCATTAAAAATAATATTGATTTTAATCCATAAAATAGCTTTTATTTCCTTATTATTTGAATTGTGTATTTTTATGATGAAAAAAACACTATAAATGACTAAAACAAAGTAAAAGTGTAACATTTAGTATTTAGTATTTATATTATTTACATTATTTGTATTATTTACATTATTTACATTATTTATAGTATTTACATTATTTATATTATTTACATTATTTTTATTGTTTACATTATTTACATTATTTAAATTCATTAAATTATATATATTATTTACATTGTTTACATTATTTACATAATATAAATGATTTAAATTATTTATATTATTTACATTATTTATATGATACTATTTTTAGATTCTCAAAGCTTTTTGCCGAAAACAACTGATGTATGAAGTCTTCTATGTTTTGTTCCTCTGACGTGGATGTTCTTTAGTGTCTAATAATGCAACATAATCTTATCTTTAGTCCATGTTTCTATTTTAACATAATTATTCCTCATTTATTGTCTTTGTGTTGATTTGTCTTGTTAGTACTTGACCATGTAGTATAAGAGTCTCATCTTATATTAATATTCTCACTTCTTTCATTGTTTCTGCACGCTTTGTAAAGGGTCAATATTGTATAATTTTGTAAATTAATGTAATATTCTGTTTTTAGGTTTACTTTGTAATATCTGCCTCTTGGGACTACAGATGAAAAATAGCCTCTTGGCTTTAACTCTAGAGCATTTACAGAAATGTTTTTATTAATGTGCTCTGTCCCTTATTAAATAAACCAATAAATAAAATAACAGCGCTAACGGTGCTAACAGTGCTAACGGTATTAACAGTATTAACAGTGCTAACAGTGCTAACCTAAAGTGAACTGGAGGGTTTGTCTCCTCCTTGGAGCTGTTGGAATGTGGATTCTTTTGGGCTAGCTGTTGCTAACATTTTGAATGCTGATGATGTATCCCTTCAAAAAGCAGACATTTAATTTAGCCTTTAACTAGCTGCTGAGTGCTACACTTTGAGCAAACCAGTAATAGCATAATGCTAATCTTTAGTTAGCTGGTTAATGGTAACTATAATCTTATTAAGCTAACGGGGTAAAGTCTCGGTTTTTAGCCTGAGCTAACGCTACACAGTCTCTGGTGGTTGCACTGTTAGCATTAATTAAACGCTAACAAATGCTTCGGAGTTGTTGGAGGGTGGATGTTTTCTCTTTTCCCCCTGCTTCCACTATTTGTGCCAAGCTAGGCTAGCAGTTTCCCCCTGCTTACAGTATTTGTGCTAAACTAGGCTAGCAGTTTCATCCTGTTTACAGTATTTGTGCTAAGCTAGGCTAGCAGGTTCCACCTGCTTCCATTCTTTATTCTACGTTAAGCTAGCAGTTTCCCTCTGCTTCCATTCTTTGTGCTGAGCTAAGCTAGCAGTTTCATCTGTTTCATGTGGGACATTAAAATCAACAACAGAAGTAAAAACTAAACAAATGATTAAACAAAAGTTACATTTAATGTTCCTGGATATATTTCTGTAGATAATGTGAAGTACTGGACAGTTTACAGTTTAAAGACTGGGGATTTCAGTCTAAATATATCAAAGCTTTTGTGTATCAGAAGTCACAGATTTAGGATTACTGAAACATTGAGTTGTGGTCTACGTCTACACCTCTACCTCCACCTGAAGCCCTCGTCTGATTGGACGAGGGCAGCGTCAGAGAGGAGACGATCAGACGGTCCGCGGTCGGTAGCGGAAGCGTACGTCCTTGGCCGGCGGCAGGATCCCCAGACCGGCTCTGCTGGAGTCCAGCGTGGCTCCGGGCTGACCCTCCTCCAGCTGCAGGTCCACGTAGAGAAGCAGGACGCACAGGAACTGTTTGATCTCATTGACGGCGAAGTGTCGGCCGGGACACCTGGAGGAGCCGGAGCCGAACGGCATCAGGTAATACCGGAGCCTCTGACCGGCTTTGTAGAAGTCCGTCTTCTCTCCGCCGTCCTGCAGGAAGCGGTCAACACGGAACGACTGACGGAAACAAGAGAGACGGTTTGTTAAACATTTTATTATGAATATTATACGTCAGATATTTAGTTATTGTTCAGATATTCAACAGGTTTACCGGATGTGGGACATATTAATGGAAACACTCATTCATATACGAAGAAGATTATAGATAAAAACCCTCAAACTGTGCAGAATGAAATGTCAGTTAAAGGAGCACTGTGCAGGATTTATTATCAGAAATACATAATATTCATAACTATGTTTTCATTAGTGAAACTAAGAATCGTGATCATATCACAGAGTCCTCCGTGTTTCTACAGCAGCCCAGAAGAGTTTATTGTTACGGGACCTGAAGGCATCGTGGTTCAGCTGGTTCAGTCTGCAGCTTCACCACTAGAGGGCACTAAACGCTTACGTTCAGGGAGGTTAGACAATGGATTATGATATAATATATTGTGGCTTTTTTATGGATTATCAGCACAGGTTTGTGGCTTTTGAAGATCTTAAATTCTCACCTCAAAATGAAAAATGATCCCGTTATGAAATGAAATGACGGCTTTTACGTTTGTTCAAATTTAAACCTCGAAAAGGTCTTTGAACTATGTAGATACCTGATGACACACACATATAAAGGTCAGACTCAGGTGAAGGTCTTCGTACCTGTGGGTCCTCGTAGATCTCGGGGTCCATGTGCATGGTCTGAGGATAGAGGACGATAAAGTCTCCTCTCCTGACGGACACCGAGCGCTCGGCGTCCAGTCGCAGACTGAAGTCCTCCTGAGCGACGCGGACGTTCATGGCGGCCGAGGACAGACGGAGGCTCTCGTTGATGGCGCTCTCTGTGGACGAAGGTCAGGTGTTCATGAACAAAACCTCACTGCATCGTATCTGAACAGAGATGAAGTTAAATCAAACGGACGAACCCAGACACACGAGCTTCTCGAGCTGCTCTCTGCCGAGTCTCACGTCCTGGTCCCGGCTGAACTGGACTCCGCTCAGACTCAGGACGGACTGGATCTCCTGGTGGACCACCTGCAGAGCCTCTGGGTGACTCACCAGGTAGTACATGGCCCAGAAGGTGGCGGGGATGGTGTTCCCCACGGACGCCCAGAGGATGGCCAGGTGCTGAGCTGGGGGGGATATTAATATTTCAGTATGAAAGTTAAAGAGAGACGGTCATCATAGGACGTGTGTACCATTACTTGTGGTTGAGGTATCAGGACTCTTTGTCTACCTCCTTTGTCGACGTCCCTCAGAGTCTCGTACTGCTCAAACAGCTCCGATCGCGTCCTGATGAACAGCGAGGTGTCGGACCAGGACGACGTCTTGTGCGGCAGGAAGTAGTCGATGAGCTTTTCTCGGGTGGCCTTGGTCCGTCCCAGCAGCCAGATGGGGATCTGAGCGATGAGCAGCGGGAACATGTTGTCGAACTGGACAAAGTCCCGCCTCAGCCGGTCCATGTCGCCATGGCGGCTGGCGAATGCCGGCCTGCCGTACACAGTGAGGAAGGTGGCCTCGAACATCACCGAGTGGCAGAACTCGTACATACCGCCGCTCCTCCAGCCACCGCCCTCCTCCTCCAGGTGGTCCTGACGGAAGACCAGCATGAGGTTACCCATCATGCTCTCTGTCAGGGTCGACAGGCCGTCTCCCTGGAGGAGTTGGAAGGTGCGACTGATCTGCTCCGGCAGGCCGGGGAACTCCTCACTGCGGACGGGCCGGTAGCCGAAGGTGACGGGCGCCACCTTGTCGGAGAACTCGTGGAAGTCCAGCTGTCGGCCGTGTCGGATGACGTTGGGATACAGCAACGGGTCCATGACGAAGGTCAAGTATTTACCTGCAGGTGAAGGACAGACATGAACCTCTTTGTGGTGGCCCGTTCTTGGTTCTTCTTCCTATGTACTGGGCCACGTTACGGGGCTCTGTTTCTGACTCACACATTAAACCGTCCAAATAATAACTCTTGCAGACGCTGCTTTCTTTGCCGTCACTTGATTGATTTATTTTCTCTTTCGACAAAGTTAACAGCAAAACATTATCAATTTAACGTGAGGTCAAAGACTGTTCCGATGCCCCATTCTACACAAAGGAAAAACCAACTCCAGACTCAGTCCCACCCCTTCCTCTTATACCAGCTGATCCTCATCTGATTAATCACAAAAGTTCCAAACGAAAAACAATTATACAGAATGCAAAATGTAACCTTTGTTCATGAATTAAAGGAATGTGTTTAGGCCATACAAATATATTAGCAAAATGAGAAATTATGATTTGTTATCAAAACTAAAGATATGGCTCTAACACTCGTCAATACAATCGATCGGCTCCATCTGTGGTTGTATTTGAGGTTCACAGGTTAAATACCAACCTGCTATCTGAACTGTGAAGACGTCCCCAAACTTCTTCTTGTGTTCTTCCAGAAACTTGTGGGCGTCTCGTCCGAACTCCAGAGCTTTACCGAGGAACGGAATCCAGCCTCTGATGAGCGGAGGTTCACCATCTCGTCTGTAGCGGAAACAAGACACACCGTTTTTATCCAGAGGGGCACATACCCAATTGTCTGTCCACCTGCCTGTCCTTCTACCTACCTGTCTGTCTCCCTACCTACCTGTCTGTATATTTACCTACCTTCCTATCTACCTGCCTGTCTCTTTGCCTGTCTCTCTGTTGGTCAGAGACTTCCTCTCTAGATTTAGGATCTAGTGCTGCTTCATAAAGTCTCTGCAGAAGCTTTTAGGGTACATCCCAAGTCTCTTAATTCTCATTTCCTCGCTCCTCGCTCCTCGCTTGAACCGGAAGTTGTTCTGCGCCGCCATATTGACAGCCGTCCCAAAGCTCTTATTTAGCTCTGAGGAGAGAGGATCGAGGAGAGAGGAGCCATGAGCGAGGACCCACGAGAACAGACTTACAGGAAGTCTTTTAACGGCCGACACGCCCCCTCATTGTTCATCAGTC